AAAAAAAAAAAAGAAAAAGAAAGAAAGAAGACTTGTGGAGGGCCAGAATTGGTAAAGGAACAAGAGATGTGTTATCAGGTTATTTAAACACAAACCTATGTAGTGTATGTGGTTGAGGATTTTAGTACATAGCCATCTGTATAGCAAAAGTAACCATGTATCTATATGTTTGAGGGTTGTTGGTTTAAGACAGGTTACTTAGGATTTTTTATTATATCAGCCATTATTCTTAACTAAATTATGAAAGATAATCAGAGGTGACTGCAAGGCAGGATACTGAGAGCCTTACATGCCTGATCCAGTTTAATCTTCATGCCATCTGCAAAGTATGTAGTTTACATGGTGTGACCCAGAAATATTTACTCGTGACTCTCAGATTGTATGTTCTTTCTGTATTTTGTGTTTTGGTATTATATTTTGCTTTAGTAATTTTTGTTGAAGTTGGTCCTACTTAATAGAGAATCATCATAAATAGTAATTTGACTTATAGCAAACAGTCTCCTGAGGAAATAGACCATCTTTTTATCTCCCTGTTCTTGCTAATGAGTTGATATTCCCAAGGAAAGGTTTTATAGCTGGATTCTGGCAGCCTGTATGTGTAATTGTGGTGTCTAGGATCTCTGCCATTCAGTGGCCAAAAGACTTGAACAAGTACTCAAGAATGAGTAGATCCAAATGGTCAGTAACATGTAAGCCTGCTCAACTTTGTATTAGTAATTGGGAAAATGAAAATTAAAACCACAGTAGGATATTATCCATTCGCCAGAATGTCTATGATGAAAAAGATGGACAGTGCAAAGTGGTGGCATGGATGTTGAGTGGTGAGGGTATTGATTAACAAGGAACGTTGCCGATAGGAGTTTAAACATGGAAAATGGTTTAATATTAAGTACTAAAATGAATATACAGTCACTCCATGACTCAGAGTCCACTCCTAGGTCTACAACCAGTAAAAACACTTGCTTTTGTGTACCAGGAGACAGGGACAAGAATGTTCACAGTAACGTTATTTACAGCAACTCCAAATTCGGAACAACCTAAATGTTTACCAGCTATAGAATGAATAAGTCACTTTTGGTGTAGGCATAGAGTGGAGTACTGGTTGCAATCACAGATAATGATACACAGGGCAGATAGAACAACATGGATGAATCTCATGAATCTAGTGCTAAGTTGAAAAAGCCAGACATGAAGGAATTCATATCATATTCCACTTGTGTAAATTTCAAAAAGCAGATGAAATGAAAATACGGTGCTTAGGAATTCGTACTTAGGTGGTAAATCTTTTGGTGGGATATGGGCATGTGTAATAATAAGGAAGCGGCCCCAGCATCTGTATGGCAGGACCCTGAAGTTGTTGCTTTCTTACCCTCACCACCCTTAGGACCAAAGAGATCAAGGGAGGGCAGGGTTACTAGAACTTGGAAGGAGAGACCCTAGTCGAGTCAGCTGCCTTGGAGCATTGCTTTTCTTTTGAGAGACGGTAAGCCTGAGGTTCCCTTACAGGAAGGCACCAGGAGGAATAAACATCCTGGCCTCAGGTTCCTCTTGGCCTAAGTCTCCTCTGAGGCTTCTGTTAGCAGGACTCAGCTGGAAGCTGGGGGGTTATAAGCCTTTGCATGGAGTTTGGATCTACCAGCCTCTTGGACAGAGAACAGGCTAGGGAAGGGAAAAGCAGCAAATGGATTTTCTGGCATGCTGCATTTTTCTGTATATGCATTACATTTCCTATTCGAAAGGTTTTTTTTTTTTTTTTTTTGAGACAGGGTCTTGTCATATTGCACAGTCTGGCCTCGAACTCTTGGGCTCAAGTGATCCTCCCACTTCAGCCTTCTGAGTAACTGGGAGTACAGGCACAGGCAACTGAGCTGGCTTATATTCAAAAAGGCTTCTTAAAGAAAGCTGGGGCTTTGGAGTAGGCAGTAACAGGGTTTGAGTGCAATTTCTTGTAAGCTGTTTCTATAAGTAATTTTTTTTTAACCATCTTGAGTTTTCAGTTCATATCTATAAACTTCCTTATAACTTGTTTAAAGTACATGCAATAGACACTAGTACTAGTTCTCTTGGCCTCGTTTATCCCCTCTTTCTTTATAGCATATTTAAACTTTTCCTGTCTTTACACTGGCGCTGGATAGCTGTGCAGGAGCCCAACCTGTGTCACTAATTGACCAGGTTGTCTTAACCATATTGGCTCATTTCTATGATTGTCACTCTCCCCAGTTGGAAGAAAGGGGAAGTTGGGTAAGACCTCCTGTGAGGGATTGTCCACTTCTAGCCTTGTGTTATTTGAAGGGATTCCTCTCCCCAACTCTTTCCATTGCAGAGAGTATTTTACCTTTGGTCTTCCTCTGAATTTCTGTAGGACTTGGATAGGAGCCGGCAGGATAGGAGCTTGGAGTCTGCATGGAAGCCTGAATGTGTCCAGGATTCATTTCCTAAATCCTCATCCCATGGTGGAAAACCAAGAATGTGTCTGCTGAAGTTTGGGGCCTACTCTAAAGGCAAAGCATTCAGTCCCCTGATGGGGTCACATTAGTTCCTGATCTTTGCCATTGTTTTTTCTTTTATTGTTCTTCAGTGTGTGTGTTTGTATCATATTTTAAATTTATTTTTAAGTCAACCTCTTGGAGACATTATAATCAGCCTGCAGAGAAAAATATGTTATTTTTCTCTTGATAATAAAATTGCATTGATTTTGGTTACTAAAACAAGGTGTTGACCAGAACTCTTCTTTCTGTGCTTATAAAATAAAACTAGTGCTCCATTCAATTGAATATTTGCAGCAATGTTATCTTCTTATTGCGACTACTTTTTGTATGGGTAGACTTTACAAGAAGTTTACGACTTTCAGCTCATGTAGCCTCTTGCTCTCAGCAAGCCACACAGTCTAAAGAGAATCTTGACAGAGAAGGGAAGGAAAGGAGGCAGGCAGGACCACCCTGAGACCCACAGGCCAGCTGCTGCTGTGCTTCTTTGGAATGAAGGTCTCAGACCCTTGGCTTACTTCCTTCTGCCTCTGGTGTAAGGTTTGCTCTTCTAACAAGAATGGAACATTTTATTTAGGATCAGTAATTACAGGTTTTAGAGCTGGAGCTTGAAGTATCTGTGGCCTGTCTCTCTGACAGTTGTGTGGGTACTGATCCCTGATTGCACTTTCATCCCTTTCCTCTCTTCTTCTTTTGTGTGTGCCTTGTGAACAAGGACCTGGCACGTGCATCTTCCAACATTTCAGTGCATCTAGAGCAGTGCTTCACTCAGCAGGCCTTCAGTTCACAGGCATGTGGATTAGACTAGTGTCTGTGTTTTTCTCTAAGAAAGGTTATGCCATCTCTCAAAAAATGAATGGGTAATGTTTCTAGGTAGATATAATCACAAAGACATCAAGTAAAATAATGAGACCAAAAGAAATAGGTAGATTGGGGTTGGCTGTATAGAGGCCTTAAGGTGAAAGTGAGCAAGTTAAAAAGGTTTTGTATCAGAGAAGTTAGTCGCAATTTATTGAATGTAGGAGCATTCAAATAGTCTATTTGAACATGAAATAGTTGTAGATTTCTTACGTACATTCTCCAGTTTTCCATACTGATATGATAGTTTAGGGCTGCTTTGACATAAATACTGTGCTTTACTGCCACCTACAGATGATTGGTGGGTCTTGGAGCTCTTCACCTTTACCTAGCTACAGTGTCTTTGAAATTGAAATAAATATTTTTAAAAGCTATTAATTGGTGGAATATTATAAAATATTTAATATTAACTTATGAACATTATTATATTGCATAATACTATATAATGTATAATTTTATATAAAAATATGAACTCATACCTCTAAAACAATGTGGCCAATCTTTTGGCTTCCCTGGGCCACATTGGAAGAATTGTCTTGGGTCACCCATAAAATACACTAACACTAATGATAGCTTATGAGCTAAAAAAAATTTGCAAAAAACACTCATAATATTTTAAGAAACTTTACTAATTTGTGTTGGGCCCATGTGACACGTGGGCTGCGGATTGGACAAACTTGCTCTAGAACATTTTGACCTGTAGACCATTTCTGCCCTCTTTGGAAGTGTCTTCTTTTTTAGAAAACAGTTTTCCTCTATAAGACTGTATTCCTGGTCTAGGGCCTTGAGAATATTCCATTTATACTCTCATTTGTGTCTGATATTCTACTAAGGTATTAAACATAAATGTGGCCTTAGAACAAATTTGACATGTTGAAATACACATATAATATAAAATTTATCGTCTTAACAGTGTTTAAGTGTGCAGTTCAGTAGTGTTAAGTTCATCCACATTGTTGTGCAGCCAATCTCCTGGACGTTTTCATCTTCCCAGACTGAAAGCCTGTACCTATCATAAAACATATCTCTTCAGTCCCTGCTTTCTGTTCTTTTAGGTATATCCCTGAAAGTGAAATTGCCAGATCATGTGGCAATTCTGCTTTTAATTTGTTGGGGAATGGCTGTACCATTTTCCCCAGCAGCTGCACCAGCAGCACAGTGCCCACCTTCACCCTATCTTGGCTCACACACACACCTTTCTCACGTTTGCCCTGCCCTTCCCGCCCCCTTTTCCTTTCCTGTAGTAGCCATCTTCATGGGCATAAGGTGGTATCTCATTGTGGTTTCATTTCCATTTCTGATGATTAGTTGAGAATCTTTTCATGGACTCATTAACCATTTATATTTCTTCTTTAGAGAAGTGCCTATTCAAGTTCTCTGCCCATTTATTAATCGGGTTGTTTGTTTCTTGGTTGTTGAGTTGTAGGAGCTCTT